AATAACACACACACACACACACACATAACTGAGTGTGGTTAGATGGTAATCTTACTTCAATAAAAATTTTACTCAAGGAGGAGTAAATGTATGCTACTATAAAAGTACTGAGACAGCATGTACTGTGGACTTTCTTTGGTTGTTCTTCAGATCACATGATGTACATGTGACCTTTACCCATGAAGCGTCTTTTTGGCGTTTTAATGCAGCATGAAATTCACTTATAAACATGCAACACGCCTGGTCTTCAACAGGACTAAACCAAGACTGAAACAGAATTGAACGAGGATTGAAACTAGACTAAACCAGAATATAACCAAAATATACCAGAACTAAACTGTCATACAAAAGTAAAAGAGCTTAACTCTCCACAGTGTGAAACAGAAAAATAACTTCAAAGTTTTCTGATTTGTCCAGACAAAAGTAGAATAGGCAGGGCTTTCAAAATCTGACAGCTAGTTACTGTAATGAAGAAATATTTGTATGTGAAAAATATTGATCTCAAAATGGACATTTGACCTTATTTGTCATTTCCTGTTCTTTGCCTTTGTATGATGATTCAAAAATAAGGAGTCATGCAAAGGCCAAAGACAGAAACTGACATGATGATTATTAGATTTTCTCCAGACTTCCATCCATTATAAGAAAAACACCTCACCAAGGTTGAATCATCATGTGTTTGTGGAACTGATGTAGAAGAGCTTTGGATTTCCTGTTTAGTGCTGATCAGGATCGTGACACTTACAGAGTGAAATAGTTTAACACAAGTGACTTTGCAGTACAGTGTGTACAGTAATGAAGAAATACACACAATACTTTCAGATTGAAGTATCATTGAATACAAAGGTTTATTTACTGAATGTGTTAAAACCCTGTGCCAAGGCTGCAAGACAAAAAGGAGGTGAGAGGTTGGATTTTAAAATAAAATGTATTTATGAATTAAATCACAAACAAAACATACACTGTTTCTGTCTTTTGCCTTTGCACAACTATTTTTGGCTCATGATACAAAGGTAGAGAACAAGAACTGACAAATAAGATCAAAGGTCAATTTTGAGCTCCATAAGTTTTATGATATTTATTCACTCACAAGGAGGTCTCACTTCCATGTTAACCAAACATGATGTTACGGCATTCAGAAAACCAGAACTGAAACTACATTAATCCCGAGCTCACTGCAGACTGCAGCTCTGGTCCTCGTATGAGGGTCCCACCACAGTAAGACCCTCAGCTCTGACCCTGAGCTCTGACATTGAGCTCTGACCCTGAGCTCTGACCCTGAGCTCTGACACTGAGCTACAGTTGGAGATGGGTTAGTACAGGTTTAGGTTCAGTTTTGTTCTGTGGTCTGGACTTTTAGGTCAACTGTCTTTTCTGTATCTCATCCACAGGTTCCTAACAGTAAGTGTTTTACCTTTTGTGTTCATTAGTTTCTGCTTAGATGAAGAATACAGTTGAAACAGAAATAAAGTCCAGAGAATTTAATTACTCAAATATTAGAAAGCAATATTTGTACAAAGAGTCTGTGGCGACGATGACTTTTATACACACAGGGGGAGAATATCAGGGCGGTCATAAAAACTCGGACAGGCCAAAGTAAATATTTATTGAAAATGACCTTTGTTCGAGGTATGTAATGTTAAACCTTTGCTTATTAAAATAAATGTTTAATAATAGAATTAGTTTTAACATCTCCCCCCCCGAACTGCCACCTTACCGTGGTGGGGGAGTTTGCGTACCCGAATGATCCTAGGAGCTATGTTGCCCGGGGCATTACGCCCCTGGTAGGGTCTCCCATGGCATACAGGTCCTAGGTGATGGGGCAGACTAAGAGCAGTTCACAGAAACCAAATGAACAGTTTAATATCGAGGACCGTTACGTCGCCCGGTATGGTGCATCCGGGGCCCCACCCTGGAGCCAGGCCTGGGGTTGGGGCTCGAATGTGAGCGCCTGGTGGCCGGGCCTTTGCCCACGGGGTCCGGCCAGGCTCAGCCCGAAAGGATGAAGTGGGTCCACCCTCCTGTGGGTTCACCACTCGCAGAGGGGTTTATAGAGGTCGGGTGCATAGAATACTGGGCGGGGGTCGTTGACGGGTGTCTCAACAGCCTGCTCCGCACACACAGCATCTGGCTGTGGCGACGTGGAACGTCACCTCACTGGCGGGGAAGAAGCCCGAGCTTGTGTGGGAGGTTGAGAGATAAATATAGTCGGGCTCACTTCTACGCACAGCTTGGGCTCTGGTGCCCAACTCCTTGAAGGGGGTTGGACCCTCCATTTCTCTGGCGTTGCCCACGGGGAGCGGCAACGAGCTGATATGGGCTTGCTTATAGCCCCACAGCTCAGCCGCCATGTGTTTGAGTTCACCCCGGTAAACGAGAGGGTTGCGTCCCTGCGCCTTCGGGTCGGGGACAGGTCTCTCACTGTGGTGTCGGCCTACGGGCCAAACAGCAGTGCAGAGTACCCGGCCTTATTGGAGTCCTTGGGAGGGGTACTGGACAGTGCACCGACTGGGGACTCTGTTGTTCTACTGGGGGACTTCAACGCCCACGTGGGCAACGCCAGTGACACCTGGAGAGGGGTGATCGGGAGGAACGGCCTCCCCGATCTGAACCCGAGCGGTGTTTTGTTATTGGACTTCTGTGCTAGTCACAGTTTGTCCATAACAAACACCATGTTTGAGCACAAGGGTGTCCATAAGTGCACGTGGCACCAGGACACCCTAGGCCGGAGGTCGATGATCGACTTTGTAGTCGTGTCATCTGATCTCCGGTCACGTGTCTTGGACACTCGGGTGAAGAGAGGGGCTGAGCTGTCAACCGATCACCACCTGGTGGTGAGTTGAATCCGCTGGCAGAGGAGGAAGTCGGAGGGACCTGGCAGGTCCAAGCGTGTAGTGAGGGTCTGTTGGGAACGTCTGGCAGAGCCCTCTGTCAGAGGGACTTTCAACTCACACCTCCGGGAGAGCTTCTCACAGATTCCGGGGGAGGCTGGGGACATGGAATCTGAGTGGGCTATGTTCTCAGCCTCTATTGTCAAAGTGGCCGCTCGTAGCTGTGGGCGTAAGGTCTGTGGTGCCTGTCGCGGGGGCAATCCCCGAACCCGGTGGTTCTGACGGGTACCGGCGGACCAAGCGTGCTGCAACCCGTGCGGTCGCAGAGCTGGGAGGAGTTCGGGGAGGCCATGGAGGAGGACTATCAGACGGCCTCAAAGAAATTCTGGCAAACCTTCTGATGCCTCAGGAGGGGGAAGCAGTTCTTCACCAACACTGTTTACAGTGCGGGGGGAGAGCTGTTGACCTCAACTGGGGAAGTTGTCGGGCGGTGGAAGGAATACTTTGAGGATCTCCTCACTCCCACCGTCACGTCTTCCGAGGAGGAAGCCGAGGCTGGAGACTCATCCTTCACCCTGGCTGCAGTCACTGAGGTGGTTGGCAAGCTACTTGGTGGCAAGGCTCCGGGGGTGGATGAAATCCGTCCTGAGTACCTTAAGTCTCTGGATGTTGTGGGGCTGACTTGGCTGACACGCCTCTTCAACATCGCGTGGCGGTCGGGGACAGTACCTCTGGACTGGCAAACCGGGGTGGTGGTCCCTCTGTATAAGAAGAGGGACCAGAGGGTGTGTTCCAATTACAGGGGATTCACACTCCTCAGCCTTCCCGGTAAGGTCTATGCCAGGGTACTGGAGAGGAGAATCCGGCTGATAGTCGAACCTCGGATTCAGGAGGAGCAGTGTGGTTTTGGTTCTGGCCGTGGAACACTGGACCAGCTCTACACTCTCCATAGGGTGCTTGAGGGTTCATATGGGAGTTTGCCCAACCAGTCCACATGTGCCTTGTGGATCTGGAGAAGGCATTTGACCGTGTCCCTCGTTGTGTCCTGTGGGGGGTGCTCTGGGAGTATGGGGTCTGGGGCCCTTTGCTAAGGGCTGTCCGGTCCTATGCAAAGGAGAGTCCCTCACCATTACTCACTGGTTTAAAGTGTTATAAACAACATTTTACACTTTGGATCACTTGTTGCTTTAGTTCATTGTCTGTTAAAGACCATTAAAGGCTCATTTCAAATTGTTCAGAGCAAAGAATTTAATCACAGGTCAATTTCACTTCTAGAAATGAACTAGAATTGTTTCTCTGCTGTCCTCTGCTTGTGTCAGTTGCCAGTTCAAAACTTGTTTTCACAAACAACTGCCATTTAAAATGTAGTTTGTCCGTGTATGTGTTGCTGTAGGCCCCGTGTCTGTGCTGTGTGGAGAAACCAAAGAATACAGTCGCAAAGTTTGAAGTAGTTTTATCCACTTCAAATCAGTGTTACTCTGTGTGATGTGAGGCACTGGCTGCTCTGAGTGTCTGAGCTGCAGCCGCCTGCTCTCTCCGACCATCTTAAACACACCTACAGAGGGAATCTGCTATTAAGTCATGTCACTAAAGAAATCTCTTATATCATTATATAATAATCATATTTTTAAGCACTTAGAAGTGCAGCAGTTCAAAGGACACAAGTAAGGAACAGTTGGATGGTGTTTAATGAGCCGTTTGTTTTTCCGTGTCCATGGAGAGCTAAGGACATTTGAGATTGGACAGATTTTTGACACCATATGTGACAGCAGATATGGCAGAAGATCTTCAGAGGAAATACAGGGAATGGACCATTTCATCCCCCCACCCTCCACCCCACAGGAGGGACAGAACCTTCACAGAACCTGCTGGCCCTCCCTGACCGGTCCTCCTGTTAAACTGCACTCACACCTGTGACTGAGACACAGAGGACATTGAGACTGCGGTAACATTAACTGCAAGAGTTTGCAGCAGCAAAACTTTCATTTCTATGGGACAGACCACAGCCAATATGCAAAAGACTTTTCCCAGCACCACACCCCGCCCTGGGCTCATCACTGAAACCGCTCAGAAATGTCACTGCGGTGGTAAACATGAGACATCCGCACAGCCCTCACACAAGCCCCGCCTCCTCCTCCTCTCTCTCTGCATATAGGCATCAGTGCAGCGCTCACCTGCGCAGGTACACCGGACACGCGGAGCGGAGGAGGGCGCACCACTTGTGAGGGCCATGTGCGCGCAGACCGGCCCGGACTGCCTTCGAAGGTTACACCTCCCCTGTCTGTGGAGCTTCAGTCGACCGAGGTACATTAGAACAACACAACTGGCTTCTGTAAACACTTGGCCAAGTGTAATGCCATTTTTGCGCGGATTATTTGTTTTTATTGGTGTTTTTTAGATTCTAGAATGTGATGATGTCATCCTCTTAAATGGGGGGCGAGGGGCAGAGTTTCCATTTGATTAAATTGTACATTACCATAAAATATCCAAAAGGTGAATGCACAGTTTTTCAATCTGTTAATTTCCATGAGTGATTCGACTCAAGAACTCACTGTATTACAACAGACTCTGCATTTAAACAATAACAACTGTAGCTGCCCCCGTCTGTATTACATATTTTTGGTCTATAGAACGTTGTGATGTTACTTATGTCATCTAAACGCAGCACTTTATTTATCTTTTATTTAATGTAATAGTACAAATAATACAGTCCCAATCTGCTATTTTCAAGTCATTTGAATTAATAAAGTAATCTCATATGTCAGTATTAAGACAATTATTATTTTAAAAACCACAAGTTGCAGTGTGGAATCTTTTTGCCAGTATTCTTACAAAAATATGACCAATCCGCGTCAGTGTCACTGCGCCGTGCACGCGCTTTACAGTGCCATAGTTCATGTGGCGTCAGCAGTAACTGTTTCAAATGCATTCCACACTGCGGTTTGTGTTTTTGCAATAGTCACTGTCATACGTTTAATGGACAATGAATGGAAAACAGCATGTCTGTAAGACTCTTGTAGTTTTAACACAACACACTCCGAAAATCGTGACGTTTTACTTTCGCTCCTCTGCGTGACCACGGGGCTGCGCGTCCAACTGTCCCCGCTCCAGACCCGCGCAGGGACAGTTGGACACTTCTCTGTGATGGCCTGTTGGCCTGTATATATTTTTGGGAAACATTATGGGCACGTTTTCTTTTCTCTCATACAATCATACTTGAGCTATAGAAGATGAAAAATAACTTGACAGTTGTGTGCATGTCTATAGTTTTGGAGGATTCTCCTGTTTCTTGTGTCAGTGTGATAAATGAGGTGCAATACTTTCGTTTATTGCCTATATTTTCTTCAGCAATATGTGACATTTCTAAACTTCTTGTTGTGACAGACTGACCAAAAATCCGTCAAGCAGAGTAGCCACAAATGTTCTCCGCCACTTAGCCTCTAGTAGTTCCAATAATGTCCAAAAGCAGCATTTTAGAAGATGTATAGGCCATGGGGGTGTGAACAGTTCCAAAAATCAGATACTAATCAATAGTAAAACTTGTATTGACTAGTATAAGTTGAACAAATATCAATATGAATTATAACTGAAATCAAGTTTTAAATGATGGTATTGTAAGAACCTTCATGCTGGAGTAAAAGCAGAAAGTAGCACCATCCTATTATATTCACAAAGACCTGAGATACTAAATACTACTTATACTTATACTTTGAATTAGTGTTGTCACTAGGGGTGTGCAAAAATATCCAAATATATTGATATGTCATATAGTTGAATGTGATGACAGTATCGATATCCGGGGCTGCTTTGTCCTTAGATCTCCAACAGGATTTTCTGCTACATTTTGTTAGCTACAGTTTTGTTGCTCGTTTAGTGGACGGAAACTCGTTTGTGCGACACATTGGACATGTTCACTGTTTTGATCAGGGGTCACCGAACTTTTTTTCTCTGGGGGCCACATTATCGCTCCTGACTTTGATGGGGGCCAGGGGCCGTATAACAGAACTGTATGACCCAAACCAGCATGGGCACAGCGAGCCTCACTGTGGAGTAGAAAAGAGCAGCCTGGCACAGGCCTCCCCTCTACTACACAACACATCAATCCTGCCACAGATTTATTTTGTTTGTCATCATTAATGGTTTGCAAAAGTAGTAAACACTTCACACTTTCTTTTAATTTGAAATACCACAGATATTCCATTTATTTATTTTCTAATGACAAGGTCAGAAACTGTCAAGGTAAGAAACATCTGGTGATTGACACTGGCAAAGGAGACTGAAAAATTACAAATTGTAGGTAGTTGATATTAACAATAATAATATTCATAACAATTGTCCATCCATCCATTTTCTTCCGCTTATCCAAGGTCGGGTCGCGGGATAAGCGGAAGAAATAACAATTCATAACAGTTGTAATAATAATAATTGTGTGCAACACTTAATAAAAGTAAAATAAATAGGCCTATAAAATGAATGCATTAAAAAAATTTAAATTATAATATAGATGAACTTGTAGTTCGTTAGGTCAAAGCGAATCCTTGCGTATGCGCCAAGCGCACTATTTATGAAACTCGACTAAAGAATGGAACTTTGTTTAACTCTACACCAACTCGGGACCTCCTGTAACATCTACGCAAAGTCTGGAGACACGGGGAAAAAAGCGACACTCGTGGAGAGAAGCAGAAGTGAACACAGTTTGAGGAAGTGTTTGATCAGAAAATCCACGTATATGAAAGAATGACCTTCAGATTTGTGCATTTAAATGTTTGGTTCACCAAAACAGGGAGAAGGGCTGTTTATTCCACTCAGTATTCTCCACAGTATTATACATGTGAAACTAATGCACGAGCGCAGCCACGTTCCTGGTGTAGTGCAGGGTCCCACAGTCCACACCGAGACCACAGACTCCTACAGAACACAGACTGTGACCAACACAGAGGACGAAATAATGACCCGACCTGAGACAAAACTCTTCCCTTGGACACTGTAGGAGCCAGACTTTGATTTAATGAACGCAACTGTAACACTTTTACTTTAGTCTTAATGCACCGAGCGGCAGAGTGACCCGAGTCTGCGCACGACACGAAGCCCACTGCCCGAACCTGACCCCAATTTTAAATCTTCCCTACATTTTTGTGTAATGGGGAACTCTTGCAAATGAGAGTTGCTCTTTAACAAAACACAATAATGTCCGTGCCTGCCCCGACACAGCCCCACACTCACAGAGGTCAGACCCACACTCACAGAGGTAAGACCCACACTCACAGAGGTCAGACCCACAGTCACACAGGTCAGACCCACAGTCACAGAGGTCAGACCCACACTCACACAGGTCAGACCCACACTCACACAGGTCAGACCCACACTCACACAGGTCAGACCCACACTCACAGAGGCCAGACCCACACTCACAGAGGTCAGACCCACACTCACACAGGTCAGACCCACACTCACATAGGTCAGACCCACACTCACACAGGTCAGACCCACTCTCACAGAGGTCAGACCCACACTCACACAGGTCAGACCCACACTCACACAGGTCAGACCCACACTCACAGAGGTCAGACCCACACTCACACAGGTCAGACCCACTCTCACAGAGGTCAGACCCACACTCACACAGGTCAGACCCACACTCACAGAGGTCAGACCCACACTCACACAGGTCAGACCCACACTCACACAGGTCAGACCCACACTCACAGAGGCCAGACCCACACTCACAGAGGTCAGACCCACACTCACACAGGTCAGACCCACACTCACATAGGTCAGACCCACACTCACACAGGTCAGCAGTTTGGATGTTTCGTGTGGACTTTCATTGGAAGAATAACAATGTGTATTTGATGTGTTTCATGCTAAATCTGTGTCCTCGTATCAGGGGAGGGCATCTGAATCTCTCGCATGCGCATAATTTGACCATTCAGAGCAGCGCGTGAATGTATCTACGTGTATGTGTGTGTGTGTGTGTGTGTATATATATATATATATATATATATATATATATATATATATATATATATATATATATATTTTTTTTTTTTTTTTTTTTTATGTGTTTCTCACCTTCCACGGTGGTTGGTCTCTCACCCTCATTCAGCTCAGCTCCTCTACCAGAGGCCTGGGAGCCTGAGAGTTCTTCAGTATCTTTGCTGTTCCTGTTCTGCACTTTTCTGGACTGAGATGTTCTGTTGTTTTTCCTGGTATCTGTTGTAGTCTCTTCCAGTTTGGGGGTTATAGCCCCGAGTGCTCCAATCACTACAGACACCACTGATGCCTTCACTTTCCAGACCTTCTACAGCTCCTCCTTGAGCCCCTGGTATTTCTCTAGTTTGATGTCCACCACCACGGCTCTGCTCTGTTTCTTATCCACCACCACTATGTCTGGTTGGTTCATCACCATCCTGTCAGTCTGTATCTGAAGTCCCACAGGATCTTGGCTCGGTCATTCTCCACAACCTTTGGAGGTGTTTCCCACCTTGATCCTGGAGTCTCCAGCTCGTACTCTGCACAGATGTTTCTGTACACTATGGCTCCACTTGGTTATGTCGCTCCATGTTTGTTTCCCTGCAGTATCTTACACCTGCAGTTCTGTGCTGGACTATCTCAGGAGCCTCTTTGCACAGTCTACACCGTGGGTCTCATCTGGTGTGGTAGATCTGGGCCTCTGTTGCTCGAGTGCCCAGGGCCTGCTCCTGAGCAGCCAGGATGAGCCTCTGTGTGTCCTTCAGACCAGCCCTCTCAAGACATTGGTAGGATTTCTTGATATCAGCCTCTTCAGTTCTGTTCCGGTGGTTCGCCCCATGTAAGGGTTTGTCCTGCCATGATGGTCCCTCCAGCACCTCTTCCTCTGGACCCCACTGTCTGAGACATTCTCTGAGCACCTCATCTGGGCCTTGTCCTTGATGTACTCAAGGAGCTTGGATGTTTCATCCTGGACAGTGGTTCCCACACTCACGAGTCCTTGGCCTCCTTCCTTCCAGCTTGTGTACAGTCTCAGGGTGCTGGATTTGGGATGGAACCCTCCATGCATGGTCAGGAGCTTTCATGTCCTAATATCTGTGGTCTTTATCTCCTCCTTTGGCCAGTGTATGATTCCTGCAAGGTATCTGACCACTGGCAGGGCGTAGCTGTTGATTGTCTGCGCCTTGTTCTTGCCATTGAGCTGCTTCTTAGGACTTGTCTCACTCTTTGCTATATAAATATATATATATATATATATATATATATATATATATATATATATATATATATATATATATATATATATATATATATATAAGAATATAGGACCAGTC